CAGGAGATGGGTAATAACGCCTCGAGTAGCACAGATGGGGTGACAGGGGTCGAGTGAAATACCTGAACTAGGGAGATAGCAGACGGATCGTACGTGGCAAGGGGGAAACTCTCATAAGACCTATGGAAGAGGACTGCGTAACATTATAGCATATTCTGATAAAGATTCCAAGCAAGAGAGAAAAAGGGGGTGAATCTCTGCAAACAATTAGAATTTGACATTACATTGTGAACTATGAAAATTTTAAATGCATTTAAACACCCTGAATTATCGTTATTAAGTTCCATTATTTCTCGATATTTAGCTATTGGAAAGTGCTTAACCGCAATAGTTACTACATCCGCTATGCTTCAAATGTAATCATAATGATTTATTTCAAACAATATTAAGGAACAAATCTGCTTCTCACTCATGTATCATATTAAAAAATATTCTTTTTTATTTTCTTGATTTACATAATCTTTTATGTTTATAATGTTGTTTGTGAGTTTGTTCGTTCATCAGTGTGTTCTTCACGTGTGCTCCGTTTTTTGTCTGTATATTTGTTCATAATTATTCAAGTACTGAAAAGTAGTTCCACACTACCATTTTGGCATTCCCTTCATTTTGATCTATAAAATTGTCCTTGACGTGCATCCATTTACATATTTAATTTGTTTCGTGTATATGTCTTGGCTTCTGTCTTTTTGGAAAAAAGATCAAAAGAAAGATAGTAGTTCCGAAGGCGGTAGGGCATTTGAAAAATCCGCAAAGTTACAATATGATTTTCACTCAGCTGATCTAGAACGAGCCGCATCTGCCGCCAAAACGCTAGAAAGATCCAGTAATTCTATTATTATTGCCCAATTATAGGATACGCTAAACAACTTTATGAGCTTAGTGAAGAGCAAACAAAAACTCAAAAACTTGAAGAGGTCGCAAACACTAAGGCATTTTGTTTTTTATGATTTATTTATTCAGAAATTCGAACTCCTCTCCGCAGGCGAGGGAATCCGTATGGTTATTAATCATGTTCAACGTGAACGAAGAGCTCTCGAAGACGATAACGCTGCAAGCAAGAGTCGGATGGATTATCAGGATAATCTATCTCGCAAACGGCTCCGCGACCAGCTCAGTCAAGAAGTCAATTATCTTTATTCTTATTTCGTGTAGGCTCGCTTGCTTGCGCAGAAATTGAGTAAGGATGAAGAAGGTGCCAAAAATCAGGAAGCCAATAGACTAAGTATGGACTCATCTCAATAGATTTATTTTTGGCGTAATGCCTCATGCCCCATTTATCTAGTGTGATGCATTCCTAAATAATCACTCGTGCTGTTGTTTATTTTAATGTTTAAATTCTAAAGAAAATGTAGAATATGAGGCTGAGCTGCGATACCAGAATGATCTTAAACTTCTGCAGGCTAGACTTCTAGGTGAAGCTCAAGTAGAGCGTGAAAATAGTGAGATCCAACTTGAGCGGGCGCGGATGGAAGCAGATGAATGGCGTAAGACTGTCTTGCAAACTATTTCTACTGCTGGTTCACTCTTTGGAGCTGGTTTAAATGCTCTCTTAAGTGATCGCGATAAGGTACTTTCTCATACAATAATTTGCCAATTTATTATCTTAATTTTTTGTCATACCAACTGCAAAAGATAGAATATGGCATTCTTATCTTTGACTCTGTATATATTATTTTTTTCTAAAAAAACAACATTTTAGGTACTATACAAACATAACATTATTTATTTTAGGTCACTACTACAGTACTTGCTTGTACAGCCCTTACAGCAGGAGTATATGCTTCCCGCTATGGCATAAGTTCTCTAACCAAATTTATCGAGTCCAGAATAGGGAAGCCATCGCTTGTTCGGGAAACGTCTCGACTCAATGCGGTTGACATGCTCCAACATCCGCTTAAGGTATAATACAAAACAAACCTACGTGAGCTTGTAGAGTTTATCAAGAATTAGCCATCGATTGTTACCATTTTTCTTTTTCTTTGTAGACTATTCATTCCTTGGTTAAACGTTCAGAAGATCCTCTAAATGGTATCATGCTCAAGGCAAGCTTAATGCACATTGCATTTTCTAACATATTTATGCATCTATCCATAATGCTACCTAAACGAACAAGAGGGTGCTCGTTTTCCCTTTAGACTTAACTTTTCTCTATTCATATGTTTTTTAAACCATCTTAATCTTATTTTGGTCTCCTTCTTATTGAATATTCCAAAAGCTGAGATAATTTTATATATTTCTTATTTTATAAAGAATCCTTTATATAATTTGTTTTAAGCTTGTTTATCTATCGCTTTCTCGATTTTTGGCAGCCTGGTCTTGAAGATCGCTTGCGAAAGATTGCTCTTTCGACGAGATATACAAAGGCTAATAACGGATTTTATCGCAACATTTTAATGGCAGGACCTCCTGGTACCGGGAAGACCATGTTTGCCAAGGTAAGAGTGTTATGTACTATCACCTGTTTGACAAATTATATATCGCTTGAAGCTATAGTATGATTATAATCCATGTTCACTCATCGTCTCACTCTTCTATGATTAGTTTTACCATGGTTACTTGCCTTCCTAATAGCTGTTATTCCTTTATTCATCCATTTTTTTATCGATCTCATATTGTTCAGGACTTTTCATCCTTTTGTGTGTATGATTCAGTTTTTCTTGTTTTTACGTCTTTCAGGGACTAGCGAAGCATTCTGGAATGGATTATGCGATTCTTACTGGTGGAGACATTTCTCCTCTTGGCAAAAGTGGTGTCAGTGCTCTTCATAAAGTCTTTGACTGGGCGATGACTAGCAGAAAAGGGTGCGAATGGCATTTGACTTTTGAAGAAATCCGTAATAATAATCACCTGCTTTAATCTTATATGTATTTAGTAGTTATCAATTGGAATCTTTCAATAGCAATTGATGTCTAAATGAAATAAGTCAGTCTTTTTGCAAGATACAAAATAATTATAATATAAATGCCATACTTTTGGTATCACTTATCCTTATGACTGCTTTTTGGTTTATTCAAAGCTAAGGTGGGCTCCAATTAGCAATAACCAACCGTTTTTTTAATAAGGCTTATTGAGTTTCCTAACTGCAGAAAAGCCCTTACCTATATCTCTTTTGTATTTAGAAAACTTTTCTAATCATACCAACTAAATTCGTGTAGCACGTTTACCTCATTTCAAATAACTACCTTTATTAAAAACCC